ATGCAATTATATAGTAATGACATGATATGGCCAATATCATATAGCTCCATTGATCTCCATCTTCGGGGCTCCATGATCATCATCGTCACCGGCATGACACCATGATCTCCATCATCATGATCTCCATCATCGTGTCTTCATGAAGTTGTCTCGCCAACTATTACTTCTACTACTATGGCTATCGGTTAGCAATAAAGTAAAGTAATTACATGGCGTTGTTTAATGACACGCAGGTCATACAATAAATTAAGACAACTCCTATGGCTCCTGCCGGTTGTCATACTCATCGACATGCAAGTCGTGATTCCTATTACAAGAACATGATCAATCTCATACATCACATATCATTCATCACATTCTTCTTGGCCATATCACATCACATAGCATACCCTGCAAAAAAAGTTAGACGTCCTCTAATTGTTGTTTGCATGTTTTACGTGGCTGCTATGGGTTTCTAGCAAGAACTTTTCTTACCTACGCAAAACCACAACGTGATATGCCAATTGCTATTTACCCTTCATAAGGACCCTTTTCATCGAATCCGTTCCGACTAAAGTGGGAGAGACTGGCACCCGCTAGCCACCTTATGCACCAAGTGCATGTCAGTCGGTGGAACCTGTCTCACGTAAGAGTACGTGTAAGGTCGGTCCGGGCCGCTTCATCCCACAATATCGTCGAAACAAGATTGGACTAGTAACGGTAAGCATATTGAACAACAACAACGCCCACAACTACTTTGTGTTCTACTCGTGCAAAGAATCTACGCAATAGACCTAGCTCATGATGCCACTGTTGGGGAAGGTAGCAGAAATTCAAAATTTTCCTACGTGTCACCAAGATCTATCTAAGGAGAAACCAGCAACGAGGGGAAGGAGAGTGCATCTACATACCCTTGTAGATCGCTAAGCGGAAGCGTTCAAGAGAACGGGGTTGAAGGAGTCGTACTCGTCGTGATCCAAATCACCGGAGATCCTAGTGCCGAACGGACGACACCTCCGCGTTCAACACACGTACATCCCGGTGACGTCTCCCATGCCTTGATCCAGCAAGGAGAGAGGGAGAGGTTGAGGAAGACTCCGTCCAGCAGCAGCACAACGGCGTGGTGGTGATGGAGGAGCGTGGCAATCCAGCAGGGCTTCGCCAAGCACCGCGGGAGAGGAGAAGGGAGAGAGGCAGGGCTGCGCTAGGGAGAGGTCAAAACTCATGTGTTGGCAGCCCCAAAACCCTCAAGTATATATAGGGGAGAGGGAGGGGGTGCGCCCCCCTCTAGGGTTTCCACCCCAAGGGGTGCGGCTGCCCCCAATCCCATCTAAGGGTGGCGGCCAAGGGGGGAGAGGGGGGAAACTTGCCCCCCAAGTTAGGTGGAAGCACCCCCTCCCCAAACCCTAGGCGCCTTGGGCCCTTGTGGGGGGGCGCACCAGCCCACCTGGGGCTGGTCCCCTCCCACACTTGGCCCATGCAGCCCTCCGGGGCCGGTGGCCCCACTTGGTGGACCCCCGGGACCCTCCCGGTGGTCCCGGTACGTTACCGATAAAACCCGAAACTTTTCCGGTGACCAAAACAGGACTTCCCATATATAAATATTTACCTCCAAACCATTCCGGAACTCCTCGTGACGTCCGGGATCTCATCCGGGACTCCGAACAACATTCGGTAACCACATACAAACTTCCTTTATAACCCTAGCGTCATCGAACCTTAAGTGTGTAGACCCTACGGGTTCGGGAACCATGCAGACATGACCGAGACGTTCTCCGGTCAATAACCAACAGCGGGATCTGGATACCCATGTTGGCTCCCACATGTTCCACGATGATCTCATCGGATGAACCACGATGTCAAGGACTCAATCAATCCCGTATACAATTCCCTTTGTCTAGCGGTATAGTACTTGCCCGAGATTCGATCGTCGGTATACCGATACCTTGTTCAATCTCGTTACCGGCAAGTCTCTTTACTCGTTCTGTAACACATCATCCCGTGATCAACCCCTTGGTCACATTGTGCACATTATGATGATGTCCTACCGAGTGGGCCTAGAGATACCTCTCCGTTTACACGGAGTGACAAATCCCAGTCTCGATTCGTGCCAACCCAACAGACACTTTCAGAGATACCTGTAGTGCACCTTTATAGCCACCCAGTTACGTTGTGACGTTTGGTACACCCAAAGCATTCCTACGGTATCCGGGAGTTGCACAATCTCATGGTCTAAGGAAAAGATACTTGACATTAGAAAAGCTTCAGCATACGAACTACACGATCTCTATGCTAGGCTTAGGATTGGGTCTTGTCCATCACATCATTCTCCTAATGATGTGATCCCGTTATCAATGACATCCAATGTCCATGGTCAGGAAACCGTAACCATCTATTGATCAACGAGCTAGTCAACTAGAGGCTTACTAGGGACATGGTGTTGTCTATGTATCCACACATGTATCTGAGTTTCCTATCAATACAATTATAGCATGGATAATAAACGATTATCATGAACGAGGAAATATAATAATAACTTATTTATTATTGCCTCTAGGGCATATTTCCAACAAGGGCCCACAAAGGCGGGGTGATGGTCGGGGTCATGAAGCGACCTTGGGGGCCTCGGGCTGGCTTGGTGGGTTGACGTCCGGTGACTTAAGGAACCCTTGGGATGGAACATCATCAGTCGGCAAGCTACTCGCCAAACGTGTTCTTGTCCTTGACCTATAACTCTGATGCACGAGCATCACGAATAAATGATCCTGGTGCAACTATTGGACATTGGATATGATAGTAGTGCATGCCACTATGGCGTCGGTGACAGACAACATGACATAGAGGTTACTGGTGATGACCTTTCGGTGGTGGTTCCTGGCCTCCTCAAAATCACAGCCCGGGTGAGTGACTTCTTGGGCACGCAGGAGCAGAGCATGCCGCAGGCGGTGAATCAACAATAGATTTGCTCATAGAACATGTCCATGTTAGGGAGCAACCGCGCTTTTGAAGACCCATATGTTGAGGTCCCCTTGCAGGATGACGGGCTTTCCGGAGACTCACCACCGCTCGCCACCAACTCCATCAACAACGGTGAGGGGCTTCGAGTGGCTATGGTGCCACAAATTCCAAATTGGAGTTGTTTGGAGGATGATGGTATGTAGCTTCATGTCCCATGTTGCTCCATGGCATAATCACAGCTTTGTGGAAAGTGGTTTGGTGCTACACGCCTGGATGCGCGAAGTTGACGACACCACCTACCTAAGCATGCATGTTGTTGTTTGCTCTTTTCGCAACACCTCCGTGGTATTGGTGAAACCACATCATAGCTATGTAGTCAATTGTCTACACAACTTTTGAGCTAAAGCTTTATATAGAAATTAAATACCATGTGTAAAAATCAAGAAATAGTACAAGATTTAAAGAGAAATTTGGTTTGACATCACAGGTTTGTAGTCCTGGCACTGTCACTACTCCATGACGATCCACCCATCCCCTCTGGTCGCCTTGTGGGAGTCATTGTATGGTGCTATAGCTGAGGAAGGGACAACAGAGCCAGAATGTGGGTTGAGACAGAATGAATGTCACATGAATTTTCAGCCGCCCCCCCAAGTCCGAAATCGCTTCCACGTCGAGCTGAACGATCAAAATTGGGCAGAGCATGCCCCGCCAGCAGAATGCATACGAAAAAACGAGCAAGTTAACGTAGACGGTGTGGCAGGACAATGTCAAATACGATAATTTGCGCTTTCTTTAGTTCATTGATTAAAGCGTGATCTCCATACAAGTTTTGTGACCATAGATGAATTCTACGTAAAGGGCAAATGTACAAAAATAGTAAAAATAAGAAAGCAATACCATGGATATTGGCAGGCTGAATATCATCGTGCTGGTTGGTAGGGTGGTAATCCACTTCTAAGCTCAGGCTCAGCGGCACCTGACGAAAAAAATCAAAACAAATACTAGACAAATTCAAAAAATTCTATTTTTTGTGTGGTAGATAATTTCATGCGTGAGGCTCGCTCCAATTTTCAAGCCATTTGAATATCTGAGCAGCTCTAGGAAAAAAAAGACAAATTTGGGGTCTGTAAAAATGTCAACTGTTCGCGCTGTTCTGACCCGATTTGTCTTTTTTGCTAAGAGCTACTCAGATGTCCAAATGATCTAAAAATTGGAGCGAACCTCACGCATCAAATTATCTAGCACACAATTTTTTTTGATTTTTTTAAATTTTCTAATATTTGATTTGATTTTTTTTCTGTCCGGGTGCAGATGAGTCTAGGCACCGAAATGCCGCACTCTTGTTTTTTTTTTGTCACAACAAAGTGACAAACACGTCTAGATTTGGGACTAATTTATTTTGAGATAAAAGATTTGGGCCTAACTAGTTTTTTAGGGGTATTTGGGCCTAACAGTTTTTATTAGTATAATTTGGGCCCAACTGGGTCTAAACATGCAGATCGGCCACTGTTAGGCGCCTTCCATCACAGGCCTCGCGTCCTTGTGTTCAAAAAAAAAAAAGGCCTCGCGTCCTTTTGTTTTCCTTTTTCTCTCGTCAAACAGGCCTTCCGTTCCGGCTGCCGATTTGACTACAGCCAGCAGCGCCCGCTCCTCCCCCTGTCAGCCGTCGATGCCTCCCCCGACGCAACACCTGCCGTCCAAACCAAATCGGGCGTGACTATAAGTTCGCCGCCGTCACATCCGAGCAGCTTCCTCTAGTCTTGTCCCCTCCCGCGGCTAGGGTTTCCTCCGCTTCGCTCTCGCAGGTGAGACCCCCGACCCCCGATCCGATCTCGCGCCCCCGTCCGTCCTTCCGCTCGATTCCTCGCCTCGTCGGCCCGCCGCGCTGGTGCCCGGCGCTTAGGTCCGAGCTCCGGCTCGATTCGTCCGCGGAAATTCCGTCGGCCCGTGATTTGCTTGCTTGTACGGATAGATCCGCATCCATGGCGTGCCGTATCCGAACTAGAATTAGATATTCTGAAGAGGTGGCGGTGGTTTTCTAGATTGGTGCGGTTTTGGTGCTGATGATTCGTAAGGGGGGAAACAGTATGGTCGCAGCTAGGCTACTGCGTAATAGATTGCGTCGCGAGATGTCCGTAGGCTGCTCTAATTGAATTTGCGCCGGATTGGCTGCTTTTTATGGGGAGGAGTTTGCTCTGCTTCGCTGTTTGCTTGCATGGTGTCAGTGGTTTGAACTTCTGACGTTTTGCTGCTTGTTTCGGTGCAGAATGCCTCGCTACGATGAGCGTGATCGTTATGGCGGCAACACAAGGCTGTACGTGGGTCGTCTTCCGTCGCGCACCCGCACAAGGGACCTTGAAGACCTCTTCGGCAGATATGGGAGGTGAGCGAGCAGAATTCCTCTCAGCCAGAGCTTTTTGCCTTCTGAGTGACAAGTCCATGGAACAAATATACTAGTTCCTTCTTGTACAGCGGATGTATTTTGACTTGTTTCATGTCATGTCACCCATGCAAATTATGTGTGATTTAGCTTTTAGTCAAATAGGCCTGTGCTTTGCTCTCTTGTCTGAAGACATGAAGAGCAGAAATTGAGACACACCTGTTCAATTTCTTGCACCCAATGGCGTTGTCATCCACATGGTTACTCTGAGGCAATGGCATTCCATATGGGATATCTAAGCCAGCACCCTGTGGTCTCTCAACATTGTTCTCTCTCCCCCATTGTTTCTTGTACCATCACATATATCCACAAGCCCTTCATGTTTTTTAACTTGGGTGATCTTGTTGAAGGTTTTGGGGGCTTACCCAACCTCGGTGTCCATGGTGGATTGGTGGGAGGGTGCCCTTGGTGGAATTGGTGGCTATTCTCGCAAAGTTTCTAGCAGACTTTGGCGATTGTTTTCAAAAATATATTGCCTGTTTTAATGGAAATCACAATCATGCCTGGTGTTTAGTTCATTCTGCGTGGTGATACATTTCTCTATTTGCGTCTTGATGGTGTTACTGTTTCCGGAAACCATTTCCACAGAGTGCGACATGTGGATATGAAGCACGAGTTTGCATTTGTTGTAAGTAACCGCTCTTCCTCGCCTTGTTTTGACTTCTTAATCCACGTTTGTACTGTTCACATTGATGCCCCTCCTTTTCTTCTATAAATCTTATTGCAGGAGTTTAGTGATCCCAGGGATGCTGATGAAGCAAGGTACAACCTTGATGGTCGTGACTTTGATGGAAGCCGCATGATTGTTGAGTTTGCTAAAGGGGTAATTAATTATAATATTTCTCACTATAATTTTTCTATGTTGATTTATGCTTTTGTTATTTGCCCTTCCTTATTATGATCTTCATTATAGGTTCCGCGTGGCCAAGGAGGAGGAGGTGACCGTGACCGTGGCCGTGGTGGTGACCGTGAATATATGGGTCGGGGACCTCCTCCTGGTTCTGGCCGTTGCTTTAACTGTGGGATTGATGGGCATTGGGCTCGTGACTGCAAAGCTGGCGACTGGAAAAATAGGTGCTATCGTTGTGGAGATAGTGGCCACATAGAAAGAGATTGCCAGAACAGCCCTAAGAACCTCAAGTATGCCCCGCGAGTTGTCTTTTTCCGTTCTAAGTAGAGCATATCTGACTTTAGTTGTGTTGATGAAAACAGGCGTGGAAAGAGTTACTCCAGATCTCCATCTCCTCGCCGCGGAAGGGTGCGTGATAGGAGCTACAGCAGGAGCCGCAGTAGGAGCTACAGGTATATTTTGTTTTCAAAATTTGGGCACCGTTTCTGCTTATTCTGTGGCATGATTCCCTTGTTCTGGTAGTCTGTTTAGTCTGAATTCTGATCATAGTACTGTCATTCTTTTTTCTTGCAAACTAAAGCCTCTTAAGTCCTATTTTGTCCAATTATTATGGTATTTCCTTTTTTGCATATTGTTTTCCTGTTATGCATGGGTTTAGTTTCATCTGCTGCTATTCTGTGGGCATAGGTTTACTTCATACTCCCTCCGTCCGAAAATACTCGTCGGAGAAATGAACAAAAATGGATGTATCTTAGAACTAAAATACATCTAGATACATTCATTCCTCCGACAAGTATTTCCGGACGGAGGGAGTACATTTTACTAACCTGCTGAATGTGGTAAATTTTAATTGAACTAAATACTTGTATTTGCAACTAATGAATATATGCCAGTGTAAAAAATTGGTTGATTTCTTGATATTGCTTTTAAACATACTCGTGTTGTGGTTCAATTCCTTTTTTTTCTATCATGTTTTGTGTATGGAACACTGACTGTATGTCTCTTGCTTTACTTAGCCGCTCTGTTTCCCCAAGGAGGGATGAAAGGCGATCAAGGAGTCCCCGTGACAGTCGCAGCCCAAGGAGGAGCCCCCGTGACAGTCGCAGCCCAAGGAGGAGCCCCCGAGACAGTCGCAGCCCTATGAAGAGCCCCCGTGGCAGTCGCAGCCCTATGAGGAGCCCCCGTGACAGCCGCAGCCCTAGGAGGAGCGCTTCACCTGTCAAGGGGAGGGCCCGGAGCCCCACCCCTCCTGGCAGCAGGAGCCCTGCACCAAGGGAAAACAGCAGGAGCCCAATGAAGGCTGACAGCCCTAATAACATGAGCCCAGCTGCAAATGGTCGTAGCCCGAGCCCCAGGGATGGTGAAGACAATGGCAACCACCGCGCACCCAGTGGAAGTGCCTCACCTGGTGGAGGTTGAGTTATGGATCAAAATCCTTCCAGTGTTCACCCAGTGGAAGAGCATCACCTGGTGAGGGTCGAGAGATGGATCATATTCTTCCTACAGTTATGAAACTCTCCAAACATGTTGAACAAAAGACTTGCCTGTACGAGTTTGATTTTATCGTGTACTCTATTTCGGTATTGACACTCCAGTCAGACCATAATATCTGTTGTACTATGTGCACATGGAATCATTTTGCAGTTTCTACATTCCATCAAATAATCTTTTGTGCTTAGTAATTTCTCATCTTCACCGTGCTATACATTGGTTGTAAATGCTGGTAGTATTTGTCCTTGAAAGCTGGAGGGAAAACAATATTTTCCAGCATCCACTTTCCTCACGGACGTACAAAAAACACAACCATCTTCTCATACAAAGCTATGTGGTTCATCTGCTGCGGACATTGACCATCTGCCAAAAGGTCCCTCTCATGGATGCGTCTGTGAAATCGTCATCGTCGGCTACACCGTCTCCTTCCATGCTGCCGGTTTTAGGCGGCGTGAGCTCTGTAACCATGTTGAGGCTGCTCACGTCGGAGAAGTCCAGGCCGTCGCAATCGACCGCGCTTCTCTGACGGCGAGGCGGCGTGAGCTCTGTCACCATGTTGAGGCTGCTCACGTCGGAGAAGTCCAGGCCGTCGCCCTCCTGCAGCCGCATCACGAACTGCAGGTTCCACACCACGTCTTCCATGGCCGGCCGGTCGGCGCCGCGCTCCGCCAGGCACCTGGCCACCGTCTCGCCGTATTTCCTCAGCGCCGCCGGCCTCGCCACGGCGGCGATGCGCCGGTCCACGATCTTCTCCAGCTCGCCTCTGCCCTGCCAGTGCAGCCCCCACTCCACCAGGTTCGACATGGGCTTCGGCAGCCTCGGGTCGACGACGGGGCGCGCGCAGACGGCCTCCAGCAGCACGACGCCCAGCGAGTACACGTCGGACTTGGCCGTCAGCTGCCTCGTCCGGCAGTACTCCGGGTCGACGTACCCGAAGCTGCCCTTGACGGCCGTGCTCACGTGCGTCTCGTCGAGCACCGGCCCGGCCTTGGACAGCCCGAAGTCGGCCACCTTGCCCGTGAGGTCGCCGTCCAGCAGGATGTTGGACGACTTGACGTCGCGGTGGATCACCGGCTTGTCCACGGCCGTGTGCAGGTACAGGAGGCCCCTCGCCGCGCCGGCGCACGCCTCCAGCCGCTGCGCCCAGCTCAGCGGCGCCGCGCCGCCGCGGCCGTACAGCCGGCTCCTCAGCGAGCCGTGCTCCATGTACTCGTACAGCAGGATCATCTCCTCCCGCTCGTCGCAGTAGCCGACGAGCGACACCAGGTGGCGGTGGCGCAGCCCGGACAGAAGCTCGATCTCCGTGCGGAACTCCCGCGCGCCCTGCCGCGACTCCGGGCTCGCGCGCTTCACGGCGACCTTGGTGCCGTCCTGGAGCACGGCGCCGTACACCTTGCCGAACCCTCCCTCTCCGATGATCAGGCTGTCGTCGAAGTTGCGCGTCGCGTCTTGCAACATGGCGAGCGGGAAACGGTAGCTTGGCACCACCGCGGCGGCGGCAGCAGCAGCAGCCCTCGGGCTCGCTCCCGGAGTGTTACCGGCGGTAGTGAAGCTTGACGATCCTGATGCAATGGCGCCGCGAACGCTGAGGCGGCCGAGGAGTGGCATCCATGGCGTGGACGACTGGCTCCGCGTCGGCGTCGGCTGCTCCTTAACACCCTCCTCCCCCTCCCCCTTCTTCTTCCTAAGGACAATGGCGAGAGCAATGGCGATGGACACGAAAGCGAGCGCTCCACACACGGAGCCAAGAATGACGGCGAGACGCGACTTGGCTGCCCCCGCCGCCGGCTCTACGACGACGACAGAGCCGGCGCTCAGGTGCATCTTCATGATCTCAATCCCATTGAGGATGGCGGCGGGCATCACGATCTTATTTGCCAACGGGCCAACATGGACGGCGAGTTTCCCGGACGCTTCGCTAGCAGGCAACACGAAGTCCTTGTAGTACGGGAACGCCAGCGCACCATCGCCGACGGCGGCGAGGTCAAGGTCCGTCAGCACGGTGGCGTGACTGGCGTCATCGACGTAGGCGTTGATGTGGAGCTGGTGGGGAGCCTCGCTGACGATGTCGCAGAAGTGGAACCTGATGAAATAGCTGGAGCCCGCGTCGACGTCGAACTGCCACGCCATCTGTTTCTGCCCGTCGAATGAGCTGCGGTTGATCACGAGCTCCCTCGCCGTGGCGTAGACGATGTCCGGCGCGTCGGTCGCCGTCGCTTGCCCGGGCAGGCGGTTCAGCGTCCTGTTGTAACGAACCTCCCGAGTCACCGCGTCGACCCTAGGATCGGAGAGGGGCTGGTCGGTAGTCCATTCTCGCCAGAGCGCGTCGTCGTCGGGCGCGACGGCCGGGCCGCCCACGTTGAGGTGGTAGGCCGTCTGCAGCGGCAGCGCGGCGGGGATCGGCTCTGGCCGGCCCGTCGACGAGTCCGCCGCGTCGGCGACGAGGTCGTCGGGCACGGAGACGAGCTCGACGGCGTTCACGAACGCGATGCCCCCGTCGACGAGCGGCACGAACGAGACCACGAGCGTGTCGCGCGCGACGTCCAGGAGGAACTCCACGCGCGCCGGCTGGGGCGACGTCGACGTCGACGCGTTGCCGGGCTCGGGCGCCGGGACGCCGTCCTCGAGCAGCACGGCGTCCTGCGTGGACACCTTGAACGCCCTGGCCGCCACGGCGAGGTCGTAGCTCCGGTACACGAAGGGGAAGAAATGGAGGCGGAGGAAGTGCCGGCCGCGGCGCCTGATGGCGAAGGAGTAGGAAGAGGGCGCGGAGAACACCCTGGCGTTCTGGTACAGCGCGGCGTCGCGGAAGCCGGACACCAGGTCCGGCGGGGCCTTCACCGCGGCGCTGCGAGGGGACGTCAGGGTGACCGCGCCGGAGCCGGAGCCGGAGCCGCCGTCGTCGGCGAGGAAGAGCCTCCGGCCCACCGGCGTGTCCAGCGAGGAGCCGCAGCTGACGAGGTAGTTGTCCTCCGGCGCGTACGCCGCAGCGCCGCAGACGAGCCACACCGAGACGCTCCAGAGCACGCCGCGAGCTCGTGCCGGCCGGAGCCTCGCCGTCGCGGCCATGGCGAACTCAGAGCAACACCTACACACGATCAAAAGATTATGCGCAGAACAGGCAGAGACGAAAACATGTCCGTCGAAGTACATCGAACCACAGAAAAGCTACAATGAGCCAAAGAAGAGCGACAGAGGGACGAGCGACGCTACCTCCAGGCTCCGGCTACCGGCCAGCTGATTCAGCAGCAGTCCAGATCCTCCATGGATGATGTGCGCTGCCGTGGTGTCGTGCTTATCTGCGGGGCCTTGGGGTGGTGTGAGCTGCGAGGCCAGGAATTGCAGGAAGAAGAGGACACAGAGGTCTTGTCACTGGTGACCGGTCAGAGAGGCGGATCGCCATCAGCGGCGGCCCGCCGAATTGAAGGCTTGTTCGTCTCGTAGCGCCCTCCTCCCCACGCCATTGGGCACGCAAGTCGCAACCGTTACCGAACTTGAGAGCAGGGGACTGGACTGGAATGTTGCTGAAATGGGTTGCTGCACTTGGAAGCTCGTTGGAACGTACTACCACTGAAGATTCAGGAAGAACACGACGGTGGCGTGGCGACAGGGACGGATCGCCGTCGGAGACGGCCGAACTGCATGCTGGGAATTCCGTGGCACGCGTATGGAAAAAATGCACCTGAAAGCAAACGCTGGGAGGCGTGACGAGAGTGCGGGACACGATTGTTTGGTCCCGGAAAATTATCGCCAGCGTTTGGTGTTACATACTCCTATCTTTCAATCGTCAATGCTACTAGGAGTGTGGTTTCTCTACCCTGCAAGAGACATCTTGACCGTGGATCTGTCGACCACCGTTGCTTTAAGACTTGTGCTACTTTTCTTACTCTTATATAAATAAATATTGTCTTATTTCAAAGTGTTACTACATAAGTTTTATCGTGTTTTTTCTTGTTCCAAAGTGTCTCGTAAAGTTTCATCGTGTACAGACAAATAAGAGTGCACTTCTTCCTGATTGGATTTACTAGTACACAACGATACACAATGAAACATTCCGGTACATGTTGAAACAAGAAAAGAAAAACCAGTGTCACTATGAAACAAGACAAAATCTGTCAATTCTGAAAATAGCATGAATCTCAAGCTACCCTGAATGGTAGATCCATGTATGGAATATCGCCTGCATGGTATAAATGTTTTTCTCTCAAAGCTAGTAGCTCTTCGAGGCTTTGACTTTACATCCCTAGCCCTCATGCCTTTGTTGTACCACCCGGAGGAGATGAGATTTCCCAAAAGGGTATTCTGTTTTTGACAATTTTATCTTTCTGGCGAAGCTAGTCCAATGCAGCCACATGCGTGGGTTGCCTTTAGTTGTACTCAAGTTTGACTTCCTGAAAGCCTTCAAGTTCCGTCTCCTGGCTTAACCTTGATCGTGTGCTTGAAGCCTCCACCTCGGTGGATGCACTATGTCTTAGGTCTCAATGCCTCCTACCACTATGTCGGCATTCTCAAAAGCGTCCCACGACAAGTGGACTTCCGCAAAGCATGGGCTCCGACATGGGACCCTCGTTGCTTATTTATATTGGACGCAACTGTCCTGCAAGGACTCATGCTTGCTATTGGAGTGAAGGAAAAACGAGTATTTAACCAAAAACTACCACAATTCACGGAACCGTGACGAAAAACTACCACTTTACGATTTTGTCCCGAAAATTACCACTTTTTCCTAATCCGTGGCAAAAAACTACGTCGCGAAATCGCTCGCTTAGCCCGTGCTAAGCACAAATCTGACCGCTTGGGCCCACCTGTCAGCATCAATCTTCTTCCTCCTCTCTCTCTCTCATTTCCACGAACACCTTAAGTGCACTCCGCCGCTCTGCCCCCGCCGGCCGACGAGTCCCACCACCTGCGCTGCCCTCCGTCCTAGGATAATGAGGATCCAGCGTGCTTAGATAACAGGGTCCAGCGGGGGGAAGCCCCAATCCCTGGCGGCGGAGAGGTTGCCGAGGAAGACCTTGGTCTGGAGCCCGACCTTGATGCGGCCGATGGCGCGGGTGATCTTGCGGGTGACGAAGTTCTCGCCGCGCCGGGGGGACTCGTGGTTGAAGAGCACGCCGTTGCAGGCGAAGAGGCCGTACGCCTCGCGGTAGTTGACGGTGTACCAGTGCGCGGCGACCTTGGCGGCCGCGTAGGGTGACCGCGGGTGGAAGGGCGTGGCCTCGCTCTGCGGCGGCGGCGTGGACCCGAACATCTCCGAGGACCCGGCCTGGTAGTAGCGCATGGGCTTGGTCTTGGCGGAGAGGCGGACGGCCTCGAGCAGGCGGAGCGCGCCCGTGGCCGTGACGTCGGCGGTGTAGTCGGGGATCTCGAAGGAGACGGCGACGTGGGACTGCGCGGCCAGGTTGTAGACCTCGTCGGGGAGCACGTGGTCGAGCGCGCGGCGGAGCGAGGAGGAGTCGGAGAGGTCGGCGTAGTGGAGGCGCATCGGCGGGCGCAGCGCGGCGGAGGGGGTCGCGTGCGGGTCGTGGTAGATGTGGTCGAGGCGCTGCGTGTTGAAGTTGGAGGAGCGGCGGATGAGGCCGTGCACCTCGTATCCCTTGGACAGGAGCAGCTCCGTCAGGTAGCTCCCGTCCTGCCCCGTGATGCCCGTCACCAGCGCCACCCTCCGCGGCGGCGCCAGGGAGCGGGGCACCGCCTCGGCATCGGCGACGGCGACGGCGCCGCCGTTGGAGTGCGGCGCGGAGGAGTCGGCCATTGTTTTCTTCCTTGCGAGATCTGGGAGTGTGACCAGCGACTCGGCCTGGTGATGAGGTGGTGGGAATCGCCGGCCGGCGGGGGCAGAGCGGCGGAGTGCACTTAAGGTGTTCGTGGAAATGAGAGAGAGAGAGGAGGAAGAAGACTGATGCTGACAGGTGGGCCCAAGCGGTCAGATTTGTGCTTAGCACGGGCTAAGCGAGCGATTTCGCGACTTGGTAGTTTTTTGCCACGGATTAGGAAAAAAGTGGTAGTTTTCGGGACAAAATCGTAAAGTGGTAGTTTTTCGTCACGGTTCCGTGAATTGTGGTAGTTTTTGGTTAAATACTCAGGAAAAACTGCAACATCCCATCATCCACATACAGTAGCAGCGTCAGGATTAGCATATGCTCAAGGCAAGCTTTGTAGCTACACTAGCTACAATGCGAAAAAAATAGCTACAATGACTATAATCAACAGAGAGCTCTCCCGCCATGCCTCAAGGGATGGACCGGGTTTCTCAAGGCCTAGCCACCAATGTACACACCCTACTCCTATCCCGTTCTAGTACGAAACGGAGCCACCAACCTTCTCCGCCCGACATCGCCCAAGTCACCAAGCTCAAGGAGTTGCTTGGCTCCTTTGTCACGAGCACTCGCCTTGCGTCCAACTTCGACAAGTGCATCTTTGTTTCTATCAATGTGCCTGCACAACAAGCATAGGTTGTCAATGCCATCTTTGGTTGCTCTGTTGCGACCTTCTCTCAATAGTATCTAGGTTTAGTGTTCTTCACGTTCAAGTTGTGCCTCTACGACTTTTACCCCTCATAGCGAAGATCAACAAGAGTACCTCGCCGGTTGGCATGCCTAATGCTTAATATTGGAGGCAAAGGAGTGCTACTCAACGCCATCCTCTCAACGCTTCCCACCTAGTCATGGCTATGCCGCATCTCTTTGAAGGCATGCACACAACACTCGTGTGCCGCTGCTGTACGGTCTTCGAGGCCACAATAACACCATCATCAAACACAATGCAAGATTGTCTAGTCTGAGATCTCCCTTCCCTGCAATTGGGGAGGCCTAGGTGTCCGGGACCTCCGGCCTCAATACCCATGCCTCAAATTTGTATGGCAAAAACATCTCAACTTTTCTAAAATGATCATTATATTATTATTGATTTTACAGTTTTATTCAATGAAAATCTGGTTACTTCCACTTTTTTGGCCAAAGTTGGCAAGAAAGGGCATGGAATTGTAATTTCAGGGTATTTTCAAATATGTTGAGCAAAAATATCTGAAACTTTCCCAGAATTATCAGTATATTAACCTTAATTTTACAAAATTATTTCAATTTTTTGGATACATTCATTTGTAGGACAAAATTTGGCCAATAAAAGGTTGACGTGGGCGCTTACTGGAGTAGCTGACTGGACGGTCAACGGGTCAAACCTCGCCTACTCAGAAACCAGGATCAGGGGAGGGAAGGGTTGAATCTTAGGCGGTTTTGATAGTCCAGGGATGTAATGTCGAAAATGCCCAGTGTAGGACGAGCTACATGTAGCCCATTTTGAAAATACCATTTTCCGGAGAGTAACGGAATATGATTTTTTTTTCTACAGGCATAAATACATATATAACACATTCAGAAAAAAATCATAACGATTAACTTTCATACGTGACGTAAACAAAAAGATAAATATGTACATGAAAATGGGCCAATTATTTTTTGGTGTTCGTACGTTTTTTTTTGTAGCTTGCAAGCCATAATATTTTTGAACGAAAAATTACAGATCAATCGCGAACATGTATAAGTTTACATAGATTTTTTTATTTCTTTGAAACTTGGAAAAGCCATTTTTGAAAATTTTGAAATAAAGGGCTTCATGTAGCCCGGGCTACACAACTTCACATTCGTTGCAACGTGGACTTCTCTCATTTTAGTTTGCCTCTAGGGATATAGGTCTTGCAGTGTGCCATGGTCAGTATGTCACCCTGTCCGCCTGAGAAAACAACAACTATACTCTCAATGGTTTGTTTGTTAGGTTGACCCACTGCTCACCAACAAGCTCTTGGCCTCATGAGTCAACCAGAGTAGACAAGCAGTCCACCTGATTCAGCCGAAGCTTAGCTCCAAAACCTACAGCTGAGTACATAAGAAATCATCCCACCCATCACACAGAACAATCTCCATCTCCCAATCCTGACAACACATCCAGATCTTCTAGAGAAGTTCTGGCAACCAAGCATGGCTGCTGCATCTTCTCGTGCCAAGCTCCTCCTGACCTTGGTCTTGCTGCAGGCTCTGTGGGACTCGGCCGCGCCGGCCTGCTCCATCGACGCCATCTACAGCTTCGGGGACTCCATCGCCGACACCGGCAACCTCCTCCGCGAGGGCCCCGTGGGCTTCTTCTCCTCCATCGGCAGCTACCCCTACGGCCAGACCTACCGGAAGCCCACCGGCCGCTGCTCCGACGGCCTCCTCATCATCGACTACTTCGGTGAGCCAAGCTTCTCCTCTTCCTTTGGGGGACAGAGGTAGCCTCATTCATGCTCTGCTTGACGAGACGAGTTTTCTCCGGGGCGTGCAGCCATGGCGCTCGACCTGCCGCTGGTCAACCCGTACCTGGACAAGAGCGCCGACTTCAGCGGCGGCGTCAACTTCGCGGTGGCCGGCGCGACGGCGCTGGACCGCACGTACCTCCTGCAGAACGCCATCGTGATGCCGCCGGGGAACACGCCGCTCAGCTCCCAGCTCGACTGGTTCAAATCGCACCTCAACGACACGTGCCAGCAAGGTGAGCAGGCCACCATCATATCGCACCAGAAACAGGGGTTGCTCTGCTTACTCCTGCTGTGTTTATAGATTGCGCGAAGAAGCTGGCCGGAGCCTTGTTCTTGGTCGGGGAGATCGGCGGGAACGACTACAACTACGCCTTCTTTCAGAAGAGGTCCATCGAGGCCGTCAAGGCGTACGTGCCACTGGTCGTGAAGAGCATCATGGACGTCGCAAAGGCAAGTGGCATCCCTTAGATATTACTCCCTCCGTAAACTAATATAAAAGCGTTTAGATCACTATTTTAGTATTCTAAACACTCTTATATTAGTTTACAGAGGAAGTAAAAGGCAATCAATCGATCTAACCCGCACGGGCATTTGCATTTCCTTGGTTGCTCATAATCAGGAGGTGATCGAGCTGGGAGCGACCCAGATCATCATCCCGGGGAACTTCCCGATAGGGTGCTCGCCGAGCTACCTCTCCCTCTTCTCCGCCGCCGGCTCCACGGACCACGACGAACGGGGCTGCCTCAAGAGCTACAACGCCTTCGCCGCGTACCACAACGAGCAGCTCCAGGCGGCCATCGTCGACCTCCGCAAGGTCAACGCCGACGTCTCCGTTGTCTACGCCGACTACTACGGCGCCTTCCTGCACCTCCTCGACCACGCCTCCGTCCTAGGTAACCAATCAAAGTTCTCCCAAGACGTCAGGAACCTCAACGAGAGCTGAGAGCTGACCCGCGTGGCGTGGCGTGTGCATGCCGCCTTGTGTTTCTTTCATGGCAGGGTTCGACGAGGGGTCGCTGCTGAAGGCCTGCTGCGGCGCCGGCGGGGAGCACAACTTCGACATGGACATGATGTGCGGCGGGCTCGGGGCGAGCACGTGCGCCGACCCGGCACGCCACGTGAGCTGGGACGGCATCCACCTCACACAGCAGGCCTACAGGGCCATGGCGCTGTCGATCCTCATGGAAGGGTTTGCCCAGCCTGCCGAAAGCGTGCAGGATATATGGAGCTGCTGGTGATAGCTCATGGAGCTCGCGCGCGTTGTTCTAGGTTCTAGCACAACTAGTCTAGCGTCGTCATCGATGGGTTGCCTTCGCTCGGTTTGCTTGCGGCTTGCAAATGTCAGCTCCATTTTCGGTTACGATCACACAATCTCACAGCATCCCTCTTCTTGGTTTCCTTGAAAATATAGGGCCATGCCTTAATTTATCGTTCACATGCCAGGCGGTGCACCTGCGGTGCGCGTTGTAGGATGCTTAAACCTGTTGTACTCTCAGCTTGCCACACGGGGGGCTTCTTGAGTCACTGGTTTAGATGATGTTTGTTGATGCGATCAGGATATATCTTTATATTTGTAGGTGTAGTAGTTGTGTTTGCCTCACTGACTCTGTTAAAGATTGTAGAAGACTAGCATAGGTCGTGCAACACAATTGCATTGATCGATGCACAGGGCACGTATATATGATGTACAGGATAGAGCCACAACCTCAAACTATACAGGAGAATTAGGAGGTGGGCCCAAAACACAATATACATGCACACAATATATTCAACACCCCCTCCCCCCGGTAGTCGAAGCGTCGCCAGAGCCGCAGAGACTGGAACGGAACTCCTCGAATGTGGAAGTAGGCAGTCCCTTAGTCATTACATCGGCGAACTGTTGTGCAGTCGGAACATGGAAAACCCGAATGCGTCCAAGGGCCACCTGTTCGTGCACAAAGTGAATGTCCAGCTCAATGTGCTTGGTCCGGCGATGATGGACAGGGTTGGCGGAAAGGTACACCACAGAGACGTTGTCACAGTACACAACCGTAGCCTGGAGAGATCATGATGCAACTCCTGAAGTAGCTGTTGTAGCCAGGTGCACTCGGCGACGGCGTTAGCCACTGATCGGTACTCGGCCTCCGAGCTGGAGCACGAAACTGTGGGTTGTCGCTTGTACGACCACGAGACGAGGGAAGGACCAAGGTAGACGCAGTAGCCAGAGGTGGAGCGGCGTGTGTCAGGGAAGCCAACCCAATCAGCATCGGAATAAGCCACCATCTCCAGAGAAGTGGACGCCGTGAGAGTGAGTCCAAGAGACATCGTGCCACGGATGTATCGAGAATTCGTTTCACGAGTGTCCAATGAGAGTCACGAGGGGCGTGCATGTGGAGACATACCTGCTGAACAACATACTGTAGATCTGGTCGGGTGAGTGTCAGATACTGAAGAGCACCGACGATGGACCGGTAGAACGGAGCATCCAACACAGGCAAGCCCTCGAGAGCAAAAACCTTGGCCTTCGTGTCAACAGGAGTAGCGACAGGGTGACAATTGAGCTCGCCGACACTCTCAAGTAGCTCATGCGCATACTTCTGCTGATAAAGAATGAAGCCGTCGTGTCAACGAACGACCTCAATGCCAAGGAAATAATGAAGAGCGCCCAAGTCCTTGATAGCAAACTCGTCACGCAGCCGGAGAGTGATTTGCTGAAGAAGGGCTGCGGAAGAGGCTGTCAGGATGATGTCGTCGATGTAGAGTAGCAAGTAGGCAGTCGTGTTGCCGTGGTGATAGACAAACAACGAGGCATCCGAGCTGGTGACACTGAAGCCCAGTGTCTGAAGGAACCCGTCGATACGCTGGTAGCAGGCGCGAGGTGCTTGCTTGATACCATATAGAGACCGGAACAACAAGCACACATGGCCAGGATGAGAGGCGTCTATGAAACCGGTGTGCTGCTCACAGTAAACCTGCTTCTCAAGGTGGCCATGAAGTAAGGAGTTGGAGACATCCATCTGATGAACCAGCCAGCCACGGGAGACCGCCAGCTGGAGGACGGTGCAGATCATGCCCGGTTTGACAAGGATGCAAACATCCCAGTGAAGTCAACACCAGCACGCTGCCGAAACCCACGGACCACCCAACGAGCCTTGTAGCGCTCAGGTGTACCATCCAAGTGGGTCTTATGACGAAAGACCCACTTGCCGCTAATGACGTTGGCGCGAGAAGGCCGGGGAACTAGTGTCCAGGTACAGTTCCGCTGAAGAGCGTCGAGCTCTTCCTGCATCACAACAAGCCAGTGAGGATCACGTAGGGCTGCTTTGGCGGACGCATGAATCAGGGATGGCTCGGTGGTGGAGGCAGCGAGGAGATACTCGTCGCTGGAGTACCGCAAACTCGGGCGATAAACGTCGGCTCAAGCCCGAGTGAGGAGGCGAGACGGAAACTCCGGGACGAGGCCCGAGGGATCAGCCGAGGGCGCCGGCACTGGCGAGGCGGCCGGTGAGGGTGCCGGCGGGGTAGCCGGCAAGGGCACCGGCGAAAGGGCGCCGCCCAAGGCAGCAGGGGAGGGCGCCGCCGGCGAGGCTGGCGATGATGGCGAAGGCGACGTGGGGGAGCGAGGCACAGCTCGTCCCACGGCGCGAGGACCGCCAAAGCCGGGAGGCGGTCCGAGAGTTGAGCGGGGCCATCCACCTGACGGGGTAGCCAAAGGGTCGCCGATGGCTGACGGCGACGGGGCAATGAGAGGTACCTGCTGCTGAAAAGGAAACACCTTCTCATCAAAGTAAACGTGTCGGGAGGTGAATACTCGATGTGAGACAGGGTCGTAGCAGTGGTAGCCTTTAGTGTTAGGTGGATAGCCGAGGAAGATGCATGCGACGAAGCGGGGTGCAAGCTTATGTGGCGCAGTGGCGGTGATGCTAGGATAGCAGAGACAGCCGAAAATGCAAAGCTCATCATAAGAGGGTGGCACCGAAGAGAAGATGATGAGGTGCAAAGTTCTCGCGAGTACGGCAGGGGCGGATGTTAATGAGGAGTGATGCGGTGGCGAGAGCGTTAGGCCAAAAACGTGGAGGCACATAGGCATGAAAGAGAAGCGTTTGAACGCAGTCATTAAGAGTGCGGAGGACGCGCTCAACGCGACCGTTTTGTTGCGAAGTGTACGAGCATGTGAGACGAAAAGTCATGCCATGTGTGGTGAGGAGAGTGCGAGCAGTTAAGTTGTCGAACTCCTTCTCGTTATCTGTCTGAAACGCAAGGATGGGACGACCAAGCTGTGTGAGAACATAGGAGTAGAATGCAGCAAGAGTGGAGATAAAATCGGACTTACGCCGCAACGGGAAGGTCCACACATAGTGCAAAAAATCATCACGAATAGCAAGGTAATAAAGGTAGCCCGTATTACTTGCAACTGGAGAGGTCCAAACATCACTATGAATTAACTCAAACGGGTACGATGTAACATGAGAAGACGCCCTAAAAGGAAGACGAGCATGTTTGCTGAGGCGACATGCATGACAAGGTGATCATCGATCTTATTACATGTGAAAGAAAAACCCCGAAGTATATGACAAAGGGTGGCGGGGTGGGATGACCCAAGCGAGCATGCTAGAGATCCACACTGGCGGCGAGTGCAACAGGGGTGACGGAGGTGGTGGAGGCGGTGGAGTGGACCGGGTAGAGCTCGTCGGGGCTGTCACATCGGTAAAGAGACTTGCCGGTAACGAGATTGAACTAGGTATGAAGATACCGACGATTGAATCTCGGGCAAGTAACATACCAATGACAAAGGGAATAACTATATTGACATTGTGGTTTGACCGATAAAGATCTTCGTAGAATATGTAGGAACCAATATGAGCATCCAGGTTCTGCTATTGCTTATTGACCAGAGAGGTGTCTCGGTCATGTCTACATAGTTCTCGAACCCGTAGGGTCCCCACGCTTAACGTTCGATGACGATTGGTATTATATGAGTTATGTGTTTTGGTGACCGAAGGTTGTTTGGAGTCGCGAATGAGATCACAGACATGACGAGGAGTCTCGAAATGGTCGAGAGGTAAAGATTGATATATTGGAAGGTTATATACGGACACCGGAATTGTTCCGAATAGTTCCTGGGATTTTTCGGAGTACCGGGAGGTTACCGGACCCCCCCCCCCGGGAAAGTTAATGTGCACATGGGCCTTGGTCGAGAGGAGAGGGCAAGCCACAAGAGGTGGTGCGCGCCCCCCTTGCCAATCTGAATTGGACAAGGGGCCGGTGGGGGGCGCGGCCCCCCTTTCCTTCTCACTCTCCACCTCTTTCCCCTTTCCCCCTCTGTAAGAAGGAAAAAAGGGGGGGGGCGAATCCTACTAGGAGTGGAGTCCTAGTAGGACTCCCCCCTTCATGGTGCGCCCTTGGTGTCCGGCCTCCTCCCCCCTCCTTTATATACGGGGGCGGGGGGCACCCCAAAGGCACAACTGTTATTCTCTTAGCCGTGTGCGGTGCCCCCTCCATCGTTTACTCCTCCGATAGTATCATCATAGTGCTTAGGCGAACCCCTACGCGGATCACATCACCAACACTGTCATCACGCTGTCGTGCTGACGGAACTCATCGAGTCCATCGGCACTCTACTAAATCAAGAGTTCGAGGGACGTCATCGAGCTGAACATGTGCAGAACTCGGAGGTGCCATACTGATACGTCTCCGTCGTATCTATAATTTTTGATTGTTCCATGCCAATTTTCTTCAACTTTCATATACTTTTGGCAACTTTTTATACTATTTTTGGGACTAACATATTGATCCAATGCCCAGTACCAGTTCCTGTTTGTTGCATGTTTTATGTTTCGCAGAAAACCCATATCAAACGGAGTCCAAACGGGATAAAAACGGATGGAGAATTATTTTGGAATATTTATGATTTTTGGGAAGTAAAATCAACGTGAGACGGTGCTCGAGGGGGCCAGGAGATAGGGGGGCGTGCCCCAGGGAGGCAGGCGCGCCCTGGACTCTCCCGGGGCCCCCCGTAAGGCGGTTGACGCTCTTCTTTTGCCGCAAGAAAGCTAATTTTATGAGAAAGATCTTGGTGAAAGATTCACCCCAATCAGAGTTACGGATCTCCGGATATAAAAGAAACGGTGAAGGGGCAGAATCTGAGAACGCAGAAACAGAGAGATAGATCCAATCTCGGAGGGGCTCTCGCCCCTCCCACGCCATGGGAGCCAAGGACCAGAGGGGAAACCCTTCTCCCATCTAGGGAGGAGGTCAA